GAGCAAGCACTCACTCGACCATTACGCATACGGGCTACGTTACTTCGTGTTCGAAACATTCACTCGACCACTAAGCCTACGGTATACTTTTATTTCGAGTTCGAGAAAGCACTCACTCGACCATTACGCCTACGGGCTACATTATTTCAAGTTCAAAACATTCACTCGACTACTAAGCCTATGGGCTACTTTTATTTCGAGTTCGAGCAAGCACTCACTCGACCATTACGCCTACGGGCTACATTATTTCAAGTTCAAAACATTCACTCGACTACTAAGCCTATGGGCTACTTTTATTTCGAGTTCGAGCAAGCACTCACTCGACCATTACGCCTACGGGCTACATTATTTCAAGTTCAAAACATTCACTCGACTACTAAGCCTATAGGCTACTTTTATTTCGAGTTCGAGCAAACACTCACTCAGCCATTACGCCTACTGGCTACATTACTTCGAGTTCGAATCATTCACTCGACTACTAAGCCTACTTCTACTTTTATTTCGAGTTCGAGCGAGCACTCACTCAACCATTACTCCTACGGACTACATTACTTCGAGTTCGAAACATTCACTCGACTACTAAGCCTACAGGCTACTTTTATTTTGAGTTAGAGCAAGCACTCACTCGAACATTATGCCTACGGGCTACGTTACTTCGAGTTTGAAATATTCACTCGATCACTAAGCCTACTGGCTACTTTTATTTCCAGCTCGAGCAAGCACTCACTCGACCATTACGCCTACGGACTACATTATTTCAAGTTCGAATCATTCACTCGACCATTATGCTTACGTGCTATATTTCTTCGAGCTTGAATCACTGGCTCAACTAATAAGCCTAAGGGCTATATCACTTCAAGTTTGAGTAAGCCTATGTTCAGACAATCACTCAACTCGACCACTAAGCATACGAGCTACCTTATTTCAAGTTTGAATAAGTGCTCGCTCGGTTATAGAGGTCACGAAGTTCAAATTTGATTAAGTTGTTTAAATCCTTGTGAAAATATTCATAAGGCATGAATAAAGTTTTCACAAGACGGGAAACAAAACAGAAGCAAGTCGGCAAAAAAGGAGATATTTTTATATACAAAATTATTTAAATGATCGATTACAACGTAAATATTAAGGACTAAGCTTCCTGGTCATCCCCAGGAGAGGTCTCTTCTCTATCGGGCTCCCCCCATTCTCGAATCCACTCTTACTCCCATCGGCTTCGAGTTCTTTAGCCCTTTTTATCTCCTCAGTCGAAACCTCGAGCATGGATCTCCTCGAGGGTCTCCCTCCTAGATCGACATTTAGCAAGTTCAGCGACCCAATGTGCTCGAGTATCGGCAGTCTCGACTGCCTCTCTTGCTTAGACTTGGGCAGCTTCAACATCAGCCCGATAGACGGCCACGAGTGCATCCGCATCGGCCTTGGCCTTTTCGGCATCAGATTCACCCTTGGCAAGTACAGAGGCCAACTGAGCCTCAAGCTCCTCTATTCTTCTTTCTTGGACCGAGCTTTTATCCTTTATTTTTTGAAGTTGGTTTTCGGCCGATGAAAATTGGGCTCGAATAGTTTCTTTCTCTGCAGCAAAGCGGTCCATTCCTTCTTTCCACTTCAAAGACTCTTCTCTTATCATATCGACTTCTTCACGAAATTTTTCGATCATCTCGAATTTCTGTTGCAGATGTGAGACCGAAAGATTAGCCATTGTTCCGGTATCAAGCCCATAGGCTTTTAAAAGCATTATTACCTGCTCGAATAAATCGATCTGATCTTGATGAGCCCTGGCCAACTCAGCTTGGAGGTCTTTTATTTCCTCTCCCCTTTGGCCCAAAAGGAGCTTTAAGGAGTTCCTCTCCTCCGTAACCCGTTAAAGCTCGGCCTTGTATCGACGCAGCTCGGTTCGGGACCGAGAACATGATTCACGATGAACTGTCGTGGCCTGCAAAGAAAGAAGAAACGAAGTCAGAAAAGAAAAGCAAACTTAAAGGTAACACTATATGATTTAAAGCCTACCTGATTCAATGTCTGGTGCACCCCGTAAAAAAGATCCAATGCATTACTTGTACCGGCAGTGTCTTCGACACCGATGAACAAGTCATAAAAGGATCCTCTCCATCATGAGTCCTATCTAATTCGAGGGCCCCCAAAGCTTGGGCTTCCCGAATCGTCCCTGCGGAAAAAAGCAGGGAAAGTGGGCGAGCCTTCAATTACTATTACCCCAAATGAGTCATCTGGAGCATTCTCTTCGGTTTGAAAAGATTCGGGAAGAGCCCCTTCGGACATATCCCCCATCTGTTGACTTCGATGGGAAACATCTTCAATCTCCGGCAACTCGGGGACTCTGCCCGAATCTCTCTCTGATATATCCTCTATTCGAGGCGGAGCCTTATGAACCACCATCGATCCAACTGCCTGTGGAACGTCGGTGATCTTCTTTGTTCGGGCCGCCAGAGCAGATACATCATTCTCTTCTTCTTCTTCTTCTTCTTCTTCTTCTTCTTCTTCTTCTTCTTCTTCTTCTTCTTCTTCTTCTTCTTCTTCTTCTTCTTCTTTCAGATGCAAAACTGATTCTACTGTCAAAGGAATGGCATTCTTGTTCGGATTACGAACCGTCCTCTTCTTCAGTTTATGATCTTCGAGGACGGGGGATCTTTTCCTTTTATTATCTTTCACCGGCTTTGGGACAGAGGCCGAAGCCTCTCCCTCGATAGACGAGGGCCTCAAAACCGCATCCTTGCCAACACCTGCATACAAATTTTTTTACTGAAGTATGTGAAAAACATCTTATTCGAATTACCAAAAGATACGAGAGAAGTGCTCACCGTGATTTTTGGCCTCTCATCGGCCCTTTGATAAGTCGCGCCATGAGCGCTCGGCATATGAGGAGGTCGAAATCAGATCACGTACCCAGTTCTTGAGATCGGGCACTACGCCGGGCATCCAGTGAACCGCTACATCATAAAAGGGGAATATTGGTGAGAAAATAAATGAATAAACAACATAATAGAAGATAACAACAAAATTATACTTACGCTTCATGTTCCACTGCTCGGGAAAAGGCATCTTTTCAGTTAGAATTAGGTCCGAAGTCCTCACTCGAATGAACCGGCCCATCTAGCCTCGATCTTTATCCTCGTCTATACTCGAGAACAAAGCCTTGGTAGCTCGACATTGGAGTTTTATTAACCCTCCTCGAAAAAGGCGAGGACGGTATAATCGGATTAGGTGATCGAGGGTGAAAGGCATCCCCTCGATTTTACTCACAAAATAACGATCCGCCAAAAGGAAAGATGTATCTGGCCTAGGGTTATTAAGTATTTACGATAAAAATCTATGATAACAGGGTCGAGGGGACCTAACGTAAAAGGGTAAGTATACAAACTTAAAAACCCTCTCACGTGAGTAGTAATATCCTTTTCTGGAGACGGCACTACCACCTCTTTGTTCTCCCAGTTATAATCTTTTTTTATCCGTTCGATGTGCTTTCGGGTTATCGAACAAATGTATCTCGATACGGGCTCACATCGGCCAGGAACTGACGAACCTTTATCAAGTTTGAAATCGGAGATAAGAACACACACCGCCGGAACGCACTCCTCAGGACGGGGATCCACCTGTGTTTTATCGGCGGTGGATTAGGAAGAAGAGGCTTTTTCTTTTTGGGGGACGGTTTTGGATGTCTTCACCATTTTGGATTTAAAGAAGGTGACAAAGATTTGGTAATTTGGAAGAAGAATTTTGCAAAGAAGATTAGCAAATAAAAGAGAATACGAAAAAGAAATTGGGAAATTTAGAAGATTGAAGATGTAAAAGCGATAAATGATAAAAGGAAGGGTTATTTATAGGTATAAGCAATGGCGGTTCAGTATCAGCGGTGGCCAACCACCGTTTGACATGTATTAAATACCTTAAAAGACTAAATCGATGGGACAACTATCACATGCGTCATGGTCGAGCCCAATGTAAACGTCAGCTTATAATCCGATCGAGCCGTTGAAAAATCATGTTGTTTCTCACCACATTCTTCCTGAGAAATGAGGGGACTATCTGTATACGGTCAAAATAGATTTCGGCCTTCGTACGACTGATCGAGTCCGAAGATGGTACAAACAAGCTTCGAGTCCGAGGGGCCGATCAATATCGAGCTTGATATTATAATCAAGCTCGAACCCAAATCGAACTATGATGCAAAGTAAAGTTGTCGAGCTTATGATCAAGGGACCGACCAACATTGATCTTGAATCAGTTCAAGGGTCCGAGTAAGAATCGAGCTCAAGTCAAGATCGACTGCTCGAGTCAAGACCGAAAACTCGAGTCAATATCGGGCTTATAGACAAGAGTCGTTGCAATCCCACTAGGGGAGACAATCTTGGTAGGAATTATGGAAAAACTGATTTATCATGGGTCTTCCACTATGCATTTTTAATTATATCTAAAGTAAGATTCCTCTACTATAAAGGGGATGGTTTTTATTTTTGTAAGGGGCAAGTTTTTGCTAACATTGTAATTCAAGTACCATATTCTCCTATAGTGAAGAGTTGTTCTTTCGAGCTTCTTAATTTGATTTCACTTGTTTAGTTTTGAAATTCATCTTCTTTACAACCTTGTCTATTTTGCATTATTTGCAATCCATACTTGATATTTCTATTTATCCTTGCGATTTGTATTAAGCTACACAACATATTCTTAGAACTACGTGAAAATTCAACTCTATCCGTTTTTCGGGTAAACATAATTAACTACTATACTATCGTATTAATAAATTATATCACCTCACGTTATACGATCGCGTCCCTCTTTGCTTTAATAAAGAATAGAAAAGCAAAAATACAGCCTCACACAGTAATTAATTAACTATGTACTGATATACATACACAGGGGAACTTTCTTTTGGCAAAGGAGGGCTGCATGTTAGTATTGGGGGAACTTTTTTGCTGAGATAGAAATCTACTGAGTAGAGTATAATACAAAAATTTACTCAACAATCTTTTTCTTTATTTAATTGGAGGGTTTTGCTTAGCTTGTCCCAGGCACTACCTTTTTTTTTCCCTACTAGTTGAAAGAGAAAAGGTGCATGTTCTCTTCTTCAAAACCGCCCTATTCTTCTTCCTATTCTATTTGCATATAGCATTTGTTCTTGAATCTCTTTAGCATAGTATTCGATTGAGGAAAAACAAACAGGCGAGAGAAAATTAAAAAAAAAAGTAGAGAATGTTCCATGCCAAGAAACCTTCGACTATGAATTCCCATGACAGACCCATGTGTGTTCAAGGAGACTCAGGCCTCGTTCTCACAACTGATCCTAAACCTCGTCTTCGTTGGACTGTTGAACTTCACGAGCGTTTTGTTGATGCTGTTACTCAGTTAGGTGGACCTGATAGTACGTTCGTTCTCTATACTCCCTTTACCTAGTTGCATATGATCACCGCCCTCCCCTTAATTTCTTACAGAAGCAGATTCAGGATTTTAACTTGATATATATCCGTTTGAACTTTATTTTTATTATTTCGGATTTTGTTGTTTCTTAATCAAAACATACTGTACTATTACTTGTGTAGAGGCAACACCTAAGACAATTATGAGGGTTATGGGAGTTAAGGGTTTAACCCTTTACCATCTCAAGAGCCATCTTCAGGTATTAACGTTAATTCTTCTTGCTATTTCTTGTTTTTTGCAGTTCAAGAATTAGTTTTCTACATGTTTATTTGAATTTATTCATGAAATTTATTGGCCTAAGCTCTTAGTTTATGCAACTTTTGATTTTACTAGAAATTTAGACTGGGAAAGCAACCTCACAAGGAATTCAATGATCACTCGGTGAAGGATGGTGATAGAGGTACTGATTAATTCTTTAAGTTTATCATGTAACTTACAATTGTGGTATTAGATATAAAAAACTTCAAGTGCTTCTCATTGTATTGCAGCAACCAGTTTAGAACTGCAAAGAAATTCGGCATCCTCATCTGGAATGATCGGCCGCAATATGAATGAGTATGTGTTTAATTTCCCTTTCAACTTTAATTTAAATCATCCCTTGCTCCTTTAGTTTTGCTTTCACTTTAATTATTAGCAATTGTTTCTTCGAACGTTTTAATCTTTTCATCTCTCATTTAAACTTCTTTCGGAGGGGTATGAGATACCAAAGTTAAGGAAAGTTAGAAGCAAAGGATATGATGAGAATCAAACTTTAACCCTCTTTAATCCTCTAGTATGAAAGGTAGCAATTTTACCAATAGCTAGCATTCAATTCTCTCCCACTAGCTGAGATATATAATATATTTTATCTTTTTCTTCTAGTTGAATTGCTTCTGTTAGGGTGGGCGTTGGGTAGGAGAGTTGAATTTGTGACCAAACTCCTGGCGTTGCATGGCTGCTCTTTCAGTTTCTTTTTAGTTACCACACTCTAGTACAAGTTATTTTCATCAAATGAGTGTTGATTTAATTTTGTCATTGAGGAATATATGTATTGAATAGATGAAATGATGGTAGTATTTAACGTTCATATCACTGATGGAATTAGGATGCAAATGGAGGTGCAGAGAAGGCTGCATGAACAACTAGAGGTAAATTATTGCAACCTTTCTCCCAAGCGAGATGACCTTCTAGTATTGCGAGACAATATGAATTTAAATGTGATGGGTTCAATTTTTGAGTTTTACCATTATATATGTGCACTTTTGAACATTATATGTTAATAATTTAATTTTTTATTAATTTTAATAATCATCTACATATATTTATTTGCGGTGTCAAAATCATGGATTCAGTTGAACCCAATAAATAAATAAAGCATCTGTGCAGCGTCATGGCAGCAAATTTATTTGAACTTAATATTTTCGCCGCTGAACATAAATTTATATTGAAGTTTTCAATATTAAAGGTTAAACCGGTAAACTTAAATTTTGAATCCTCCTAGAGAGAATCATTAAAATTAAAGCTGCTCTACTATGATGGAGTGGAGAACATTAATTAATTAACATGATAAATTATTACGTACGGGTGCATGGTGTAGGTACAAAGACACCTTCAGTTAAGGATTGAGGCTCAGGGAAAGTACATGCAGACTATACTGGAGAAAGCTTGTCAAACATTGGGCGGCGAGGAAAATATGGCGTTACCAGCACGAACCTTTAAAGGCTTGGGAAATCAGGGAGGAGGAATAATACCGGACATTTCAGCTGCCTTTAAAGAATTTGGGGCTCCTCCTCTAAGTTTCTCGTCATTTCAGGACCTTAATATTTGTGGAGGACATGAGCAACAGCTCGAGCTTCATCCACAAAGTAGCATGGGGGAAAGGTCCTCATCCTTCGAAAGTTTCCTTGTTACTGATCATAACTTGTCTCTTGGAAAGAAGAGGCCTAGTCCTTATAGCAATGGGGGTAATACCAATGGAAAGAGCCCCTTGATGTGGTCCGACGATTTCCGTCTGCAAGAATTGGGCGGAGCAACAACAAACTTAATTTCACGTATGGTCTCTGAACTTTATCTATCACTTCTTTTGTCTTAATTTATGTGGCATTTTTTTCTTTTTAATTTTTGAAGTTAAATTGGATTAGATTAACTCATTACTTTAAATTAATATCTAGATATTTTAAAACTATATTAAAAGTACTATAAATTGCAATTCTTCATATGCCAACATGATTTAAAAAATACCTTTTAAAATGTTAGTCAAAGTTTACGTAATTTGAATTCCGACAAATAGAATGTGCCACCTAAATTGGGTCAGAGTAAGTATAACAATAAAATTTTGTCATACTAAAGTAAATAACTGAATTTTACCTAGTATAACAAATGTTTTGTGTTTTAGGCCCTAATCAAGATGACATTATTCAGATGGCACCGCTTTCAATGGAGAGGAGTTGCAATCCCGAGCTTGATTCTGTATCTGACATTTACGAGTCAAAGCCAATGCTGGACGAAAAGAAATTCGATGCCAAGCTTGAGAGGCCCTCCCCAAGAAGAGCGCCCCAGCTTTCAAGTTTGAGTGCTCAAGGTGGACGAAACTCTGTTTTCGGGTAAACCTTGCCAATTTTTTACACAGCAACCTTTTAAATTTCTCAAGTAATTATTGTAGTATTATTATGGATTTAAGTTATATGCACTAATAGAGTTAAAAGAATTTTTGCACAATTCGTGTAATTTAATCCATTATAGCAGGTTACTCAACATTTATTACTTCAAGATACCTATGAATGCTTATTAAATATAGTCACTTGCAGTTACTTTTTAAATAACATAATTGTGTAAAAATAATTTGAACTTAGTTATTGTCTTACCCATTATTTAGGAAGTCTGTAACTGTTGATTTAATATCAATGAATTCATTTTTCTACTGTGATATTCCCAAGACCCATGCAAATGATTTATTTGTTCTCCTTACGTCTTTCCCATAAGAATTGTAAGAAGGGATCAGAGTAGATTATCAATACATATTTAGTGGCTCCATCGTTTTCGCTATAGTATATGCATATATTTAATTTTATTAATCGTCGGGTATCAATTACATCAAACTACACTTAACAGAGTTAGTGTTTCTATTGTAATTTAATTAATCTCGGGTTCTTTTCACTTTATACCGGTAAAAACCCTGAAGAAAAAATTGTTGTAATAGTCGACAATTTATGTCCTATGTTTTTAAGGAGTTTCTTAGTTTTTTATAAATTTATATGTCATACAAAAAATATAAAGAATCGTCTAATACTTTTTATTTAATTTTTATTCTTATTTTGTATAATATTTTTCTAAGATGAGTTTATATGTGGCAACATAGTAATGAGGACTTATATTGTCGTTCCCAACCATTTGATACTAAGACAGTAATTATTGTTGCAGTCCGACGATTTTTACATGTATATGTGCACGCGTGTATCGATCATTTCTCCCAATGTATCTTTATATAATTTTTCACATTCTAGATATATTCATGTGTGTGCGTCATTCCACCCCATGCATTTCCTTACATTTAGAATTTGTACATCCAATAGCCTTGAATCGTTCTTCATAATTTCTTTTCCCGTTTGAAAATTTGCCATTCTCATTGAAAATTTGCCATTCTCATTGATACCACTGTATGTTCGTCTAAGGTGTTGTTTTATTTCTCTTTTTAACTTTCAAAATTTTTTATGTCCCAGAAATAATATTTGCACTGCATTTTATGTTTCATACTGCTTCATTCTTGTAGCTAGATCAAGAACTTGTAATCCAAATAATTCCGTACCATGAAGTATTTGAAATAATAGTATAATTAGTGAAATAAAACGACTTACTTATACAGACCTGATTTCCGCGAAATGACCATGGGATTAACCGTTCCTTAAGAAGAAGAAATAGTAACGCTATGAGTCTAGGACTGACTACGTCATGATTGCGTGACTAAAGCACAATTATGATTAAGAAAAGAGCCCTGATCTTCCTTCCCAGTCAAAGAAAACCAAAGCCGAAAAAAAAAGTAAAGAAGTTGAGGCTTGAGAATATATTCTTTTTTACTTTTATTTGAGCAAAAAGAGAGAAGCTAACTAACTACTAGGGGATTTTGGAAGCTTCTTTGGACTGAACGAAAGAAGAGTTCCCAATGAGACAAACCGACAGAGAGCATCCAACTTTCTCAATCTTTTTCTCTCTTTAGAATTTAGGATTCCATATTCCCTAAGCGTGGCTCTCACAACTACGCGAAGCTTTTCTCTGACGGTACTCATCGAACGGAATTCTATGTAAATTCTTTTTCCCTTATCATCTCAACTGGCACCTTTCTGAGATTTTCCCACGAGCGATAGCCAACTGTCCTCTTGGCCAAAAGGATTTAATTTACACTTGCCGTATATATAGAAATGTTTTATATTGTCAGTGAATATTTAACGTGTAATTCCAGGAAATTGCTTATTCCCATCTTTACATAATTACTACTAATTATTATTCATAAAAATATTCATGTAATTATCTAATAAGTGATCTGTAAATTATCTTTTTATACCGTTAATGCATCGTAATTGAACTATATATCTAACCAAAGATAATTGCTATTTCTCTCAATTCTCCTCCTACCTCTCCCACCAAAACCCCAGTTCCAAAAGAAAAGGAAGAACATTTGGATAACTACTTCCATATTTCAAATAATCCTACAAGTTATAAGTCCTACACAATATATACTCCCTCCGTTTCAATTTATGTGAACTCATTTGACTGGACACGGAATTTAAGAAAAGAGAAAAGACTTTTAAACTTGTGGCGTAAAATGAAGCACATATATTTTGTGTGGCTATAAATTATTGCATAAAGGCAAATTGTTTCCAAATAGGGAAAGATGTCATTCTTTTTGGCACAGACTAAAAAGGAAATAAGTTCACATAAATTGAAACGAAGGCCGTATATAAATAATTCAAGAAGTAGAAACCTCCCATTATGATTTTTCGTACCTTAGAATTTATTTATCTTACTGTTATGGCATCACTTAGTAGCAGTACACATATATAAGACTAAATCAAAATGGAAGAAAGGCTGAAGGGGATACTGCTGCTTTTTTAGTGGGGAAAATAAAGCATATATGGCATGGTAGTGCAACTATGATGCCTTTATTGGTTGCAGTGAATTGGCAAGATGGAAAGCTCACAGATGCTGGAGAGACGGGCCGGGGAGTGAATTAAAAGGTAGAGCTACCTAAAGAGGTCGAGGCGCGAGGGGCATGGGGTGGTGGCCAGGCAAAGTATATTATATTGAAGGTGAAGACAACGCACTCTATCATGCGTACTGCGAACATCGATGAAGCTTTTGTAGGACCATTCAGTTTTATCTATCAACCAAAAAGGGATATGCCACATGAAATGTTACTGTAACATCAAATTTTGCATGCATGCATTGCATGGCTAGCTTCATCTTTATCTCATGACTTACTTTATCTATACAGTACATCCTGTTATTATATTTCCTCCTTTTTTTGTTCTCTTTCCTATTCTAATACATACAACAGTGAGTTGCTCTATTGGTGAGCACCCTTCAATTCCAATAAAAAAGTTATAAGTTCGAATCATCTCAAGGGCAAGGTGAAAAGTTCTTGGAAGGAGGGAGCTAATGGTCTATCAGAAACAGCCTCTCTACCCCAGGGTAGGGCAAGGTCTGCGTACACACTATCCTCCCCAGACCTCACTAATGAAATTATACTGAATTGTTGTTGTTATCGTTTCCCTATACTAATATAATTAATACACCTCCTACCGACCTTACTGATTTATGCAGGATTTTAATAAGCGATGTTAGCATTTAAGCAAGTGAAGAAATAAGAAAATAAATAAATTACTCTAATAACATCATATACTCAAAATACAATTTAATTCATATTCATAAAACATCATTCAAGTATATTACTATAGATCGCTTCGACGAGGCTTCATTTTTTGAAACATATTGATAATAGTTTCATTATGAAAAAAATAGTAAGTCCTTTTCTTATATAAGCACCAGCAATTACTCAAAATCTCAACATTGTATTAGCAAGTTGCCTTAATCAACTTCAACCCACACCAACAAGGGTTGTGGTAGAGTAGTAAGTGCTCCTTCATTCTTAACCACAGGTTACGGGTTCAGGTCTTTGGTATGGAGTTGCCTTTGTTAGGGAACGCTTTACCCCCAATATGGGACTTCCCGACGTAAATTCTGATTTAGTCAAGCCCAATATAGATACCGGACACCGGGTCGAAAACAAAAAAAAATTTCAACCCACACAAAGAATAAATAATATTCCAACGACCAAACAGGATCACGTGGCACCTTTTTGGTCTAGGTGCGTCCTTCCCTGACCGGCCTACCCTAGCTTGAAAATGAAAGAAGAGCAAACAGACCGGATGCATGGATCTACTAATATGCGATGCATGATCAATAGGGAAATTGGCGCGGATTACTTGCACAAGTCTAGAAAAGACCCAAATCAATTCTATTGTCATTAGCCGTTACCACACAGCTAGATGTGTTCAAGAAAGATCGAAAATTGAACCGAATCTTAAAATTGACAAATCGACTTTAAACACTCATATGTGTTTGCTTTGATTTGATACTGAACCAGATAAGGCCTAATTTGGAATTTAATATAATGTTTTCTTTAAAGATTACTCTATAAAATTCGTGATTTTGCTAGGGATGTAATACATATATTCCTTCGTTCCAATTTAATTATGTGACAGGTATTTCCTTATACTAAAATATTTTCATATTTAAAAATAATTAAATTTTAAACTCTCATTTTACATACTCATAATGAAAGGTATTTAAAGCCACACAAATATTATTACATATTTAGTATCACAAGTTTCAAAGGTCTTTTTAGCTGCACAAATATTATGACATATTTAAAATCAGTTTAAATTATTTTATTTGGATTTCACATTTATTATCCTTTTAATAAAAGTAAATTATAAACATTCAAAGGTTTAGAAAACAAACATTATTAATCATTCAGTATTCAAATCTAAATATAATATATTGATATATAGATGTGTATTCAAATTCGGACATCTTAATTTAATAAAAAAAAATAATCCCTCAATCGCGTGATGTCTAGATGTTGGTGTTGTCAGCAGCCTCAAGAGGAGACTATAGAGCACATATTTGTAACTCGTCCTACTGCATCAAAGGTATGGAAGCTGTTCATGGGAGTTGCTGGAATTACTGTGCCTTTGATTCAGTTGAAACAAGTTATAAAGCATTGGTGGAATGCACAATGCTGTCCAAAGTTGAAGCCATTGTTCCAGACAGTTCCGGCTATCATCACTTGGGAACTATGGAAGAAAAGAAATGCAGGAAAACATGGGAGTACAGTGTCCACAAATATGGTGATCCATAAAGTAAATAGGACATTGCATCAATTGGCAAGGGTACGGTGAGGTATGCTTGGATGTCTAATATTCCATTGTTATGGCAGATATGATTCAGTTCTTTGAAGGTTACAAACCTATAATGATCACAAGAAGAGTAACATGGCAGCTTCCTCATTATGGTTAGTATAAATGCAATACTGATGGGGCATCAAAGGACAATCTTGGTCCTAGTTCCCTTGGATTTTGTGTGAGGAATGATGAGGGAGATTTGATGTATGCAGGGGCAGTAGATCTGGGGGTGAAAACAAATGTTGTAGCTGAAGCAAAGGCAATTGTTCAAGGGTTGGAATATTGTATGGAGCATGATCTTCACCCTCTCATTTTGGAGGCTGACTCATTGGTGAT